AATTTAAAACCACCTTAAGAACAAGTTTGACACTTGGAAAACCAATGAATGAAAGCCAGATCAGCTGTGGGATGATGACAAGAATATCAACCATGAAGAAAAGTAAGAGGTCATTATAAAGACAGAGGTCGAAGAAAAGACCAAAATGGATGTTAGTCGAGACTCTGAATATTGCACTAAATCACCAAGAAGCCAAAATAAAGCGAAGAAACGAAGAAATTAAAAAATTGAAAAGACAATTTCAAAGAACATCTCATGAAGACAAAGCAAAGTATTTTAATAAACTATGTAAAGAGCTAGAATCAGGAAACCAAAAGGAAAGAACTTCCTTGACATTTTTCAAGCTGAAGAAATAGAAGAACAAATTCAAGTCTTGAGTTACAGTACAAAAAGATGCTATGGGCAAAATCTTGAATGATCCAGAAAAAAAAAAAAAGAAGATGGAATTAGCATTCAGAGTCACTGTACCAAAAAGAATTGGCTGACACAACTATTTCAGGAAGTAGCATATGACCAAGAGGAAGAAGTTTAAGCCATTCTGGCAGATGTAGCCCTAGAAGTGCTCACTAAGTTGTGCCAAGAAATCTGGAGGACAACTACCTGGCCAACTGACTGGAAAAGATCCATATTTACTCCCATTCCCCAAAAAAGATGATTCAAAATAATAAAACAATATCACATGTCAGCAAAATCTTTCTGGAGATTATCCAAAAATGATTAGAACCATATATCAATGGAGAACACTTCAAAATATAAACTAGGATTAGATGAGGCCATCATAGCACTAGGGATATCATTAATGATGTCTGATGGACCTTGGCTGAAAGCAGAGAGTACCAGCAAAATGTCTATTTACTTTTATTGACTGTGATAAAGCATTCGACTGTGTGGATCATAACAAATTATGGCTAATATTGAGAAGAATGGGCATCCCAGATACTTAATTGTGGCCATGCAAAAGCTATACTTAGACCTAGAGTCTGTTGTCCGAACAGAGCCAGGAAACGCTACATGGTTTAAAATCAAGAAAGGTGTACAGCAGGGTTGTATCCCCTTCCCATATCTATTCAATATGTATTATAAACAAATTATTTGAGAAGCTGGACTTGATCAAGAAGAATGTGGCATCAGGATTGGAGGAAAACTCAACAACAAACTTTATTATGTAGATAACACAACCTTGCTTACTGAACGTAAGAGGACTTGAAGCACTTGTTGCAGAAGATCTAAGATTACACTCTCAAATATGTAATAGATTGCATCTCAACAAGACGATGACAAAAATCCTCACTGCTGACCAAATAAGCAACATCAAGATAGATAGATAGATAGATAGATAGATAGATAGATAGATAGATAAAAAGTTGAAATTCTCAATAAATTCATCTTACTTGGATTCACAAGCAACACTATACCCCCAGTCAGGAGATCAGGAGACATGTTGCATTGGGAAAGCTGGATTATCAGAAACCTCTCCAAATTACTAAAGAACAATTTCAGTTTGGAGACCAAGGAGCTCCTGATTCAAGCCATAGTCTTTTCAATCACTTCCTATGCCTCTGAGAGTTATACAGTAAATAAGGATGACAGGATTGATGCCTTTGAGATGTGGCATTGGAAAAGAGTATTGAATATCCACCGCTTG